AAGACCTTAAATCAAAATCGCCAAATCCTGCAGCAGTGGCAGCTCTCACTACTAGGAGTGGTTGCTTTGGTGGTTTCAAACATCACTACAATTTCTAGAGTTTCAGCTGTCAGATGAAGCTACAAATACAGATGAAAAACAGCCAAAGAATTTCCAGCAATGACACAGAAAGCGGCTATAATATGGATGGCATTTCTGATTGTGATGAAACGGGTATCTATTATGAATGCATACCTCAAAGGGCCTCCATCTCAAAGGCAGAAAAAATGGCCCAGATTCGAGGCTATAAAAGATCTCGGAACTCTGGTGTTCAGCATCAATGCCCAACAGAGGACAATGAGCCAGTCACCCACAGCTGGTGTTACAACTTTCTGTCCAATTTCAGGTACACCTCCTCTACTGCTTCCCAATCCCTACCAAGCCACAACCCTGCCAATGCCCATGCCACAAGATGACTTCAGGTCCTTAAAAAGGCAAAGTGCTCTGTTTATTGCAGTATTTATGTATTTCTTCACTAGTTAACACATATAGAACTGTGCTGCCATCTTTGCTGTTTCTATCCTTTTTAAAAATGTGTCGCTGATTAAGCTTTTGAGTGTGGTGCTCTTACCCCCATTTTTTACATAAGCCCATGGTTTTTATTGCTTGATTTTGCACACTGTGGTGATTTATAGGAATGCATATGTCATATTCTAGCAGAACTAAACACATACACCACACACCTCATGAATTCATATTGATACTTCTAATTCAATTGTAGGACTATGTGATTTTTGCTTAACCTCATCAATAGTATATCTGCATCTCCTTTCTTCCACACCCCAAATCCTGCTTCTCAAGGATATAGGAGATGAGAGACTATTCCAAAATGACTCATCTGCTTTAATCCATCTTCTATACTCAACAGAATAACAATACAAAACTATCACAACTTATATAATTACTGAGAACTCTCCTGGAAGGGAGCCCTAACAGGCCACTTTCAAGAGTTGGCAGGGTGAAGACCACTATGGGGCCTCTTAAGACCTCATCATAGACCCCCTTGCCTGCACCACTACTGGTTTGGACAAAACCCTTTCCAGGTTCAACTGCTCTTCTCAAGTTGGCCTGCCTGCTTTGTCAGAATCCCCCTCTCCCAGCTTCCCCAGGCACACACGCTGACACCGTGCGGATGTTGACACTATTGGTGGTTTGTCCTGCTTGTACTTAAAGGTTCATGTGGAGACTTCATCAGTTAACTATTGTAAATGCTGTCCACCAGTTTTCATTTTTTTTCTAAATGTTCTGTCTGCTTTTGTATGGGGATTCTGAGAGATTTAAAACCAAGCCACTGTCACTATCTTCCCAGAATCCTTCCTTAAAAAACAGTTTTTCATAGGTTGTCTTTGAATATGAACATTGATCTTTTTATATATATAAAATGTTTAAAATTTTTATTTAGTCAAGTGTATTTGACCTGCCCCCATTGTTTTTATATGAGAAAGCCTTTGTCTGTATGTGTTAGATAAACATCTTTTTACAATTTCTTATGATATTTTAAGTTTCATTTTTTTATATATATATATCTCTTATCCATCTTATCCATTTGAGCATTATTTTGTAAAGTGCTGTAAATGTCTTAATTCTTTTCTTCCTTGAACACTAAACTTCCCATTTAGTGAATTTTTAATTCTTCCTTTATTATAGCTCAATTATAAATATCAAGGTCTATGGGATATTTCTTCTAGATATGTCTGTCTAGTTTTGTAGTTATACCAAAATGTTTATTTATTTTAGTTTAATAATATATTTTAATGTCTAAGGCATTCCCTCCTCACTATTTTTCTTTTAAAAGAAAAGTTCAGTTGTTTTCATCCACATTATTTCTTTTCTTTTTTTTTCTTTTTTTTTTTTTTCACATATCAAGCACTAGTCTGAGTTCTGGGGAAATAAAATGCATGAAATCTAACACATAATGTAGCATCTTTTTTTCTCTTTTTTAAAAAATTTAAATTCTTGCCAATCCAGTTTGGCTCAGTGGATAGGGCGTAGGCCTGTGGACTGAAGGGTCCCGGCTTCGATTCCGGTCAAGGGCATGTACCTTGGTTGCGGGCACATCCCCAGTGCGGGGTGTGCAGGAGGCAGCTGGTCAATGTTTCTCTCTCATCGATGTTTCTAGCTCTCTATCCCTCTCCCTTCCTCTCTGTAAAAAACCAGTAAAATATATTTTTAAAAAAATTTAAATTCTTTATTGTTTAAAGTATTATATAAGTCTCCTTTTTTCCCTGGCCGTCCCCACCCCCCAGCACATGCCCTCACCCTCTCCCCCTGTCTGTGTCCATTGGTTATGCTCATATGCATGCATATAAGTCCTTTAGTTGATCTCTTACCCCCTCATCCCCCACCTTCCCTCATAGGTTGGACAGTCTGTTCAATGCTTCTATTTTTGTTCATCAGTTTATGTTGTTCATTATATTCCACAAATGACAGAGATCATATGATATTTATCTTTCTCTGACTGGATTATTTCATTTAGCATAATTCTCTCCAGTTCCATCCATGCTGTTGCAAATGTTAAGAATTCCTTCTTTTTTATAGCAGCATAGTATTCCATTGTATAGATGTGCCACAGTTTTCTAATCCACTCATCTGCTAATGGCACTTGGGCTGTTTCCAAATCTTAGCTATTGTAAATTGTGCTTCTATGAACATAGGGGTGCATATATCCTTTCTTATTGGTGTTTCCTTTTTCTTGGGATATATTCCTAGAAGTGGTATTACTGGGTCAAATGAAAGTTCCATTTATAATTTTTTGAGGAAATGCCATATTGTTTTTCACAGTGGCTGCACCAGTCTGCATTCCCACCAACAGTGCAAGAGGGTTCCTTTTTCTCCACATCCTCTCCAGCACTTGTCATTTATTGATTTGTTGATGATAGCCATTCTGACAGGTGTGAGATGGTACCTCATTGTTATTTTGATTTGCATCTCTCGGATGATTAGTGACTTTGAGCATGTTTTCATATGTCTCTTGGCCTTCTGTATGTCCTCTTTCAAAAGGTGTCTATTTAGGTCCTTTGCCCATTTTTTGATTGGATTGTTTATCTTCTTTTTGTTAAGGTGTATGAGTTCCCTATAGATTTTGGAGATTAAACCCTTATCGGAGATAACATTGGCAAATATGTTCTCCCATGCAGTGGGCTTTCTTGTTGTTTTGTTGATGGTTTCTTTTGCTGTGCAGAAGCTTTTTATTTTGATGTAGTCCCATTTGTTTATTTTCTCCTTAGTTTCCATTGCTCTAGGACAGTGGTTCTCAACCTTCCTAATGCTGCGACCCTTTAATACAGTTCCTCATGTTGTGGTGTCCCCCAACCATAAAATTATTTTTGTTGCTACTTCATAACTGTAATTTTGCTACTGTTATGAATCGTAATGTAAATATCTGATATCCAGGATGTATTTTCATTGTTACAAATTGAACATAATTAAAGCATAGTGATTAATCACAAAAACAATATGTAATTATATATGTGTTTTCCGATGGTCTTAGGCGACCCCTGTGAAAGGGTCATTCAACCCCAAAGGGGTCGCGACCCACAGGTTGAGAACTGCTGCTCTAGGAGCTGTATCAGTAAAGACATTGCTATGACATATGTCTGATATTTTGCTGCCTATGACTTTTTCTAGGATTTTTATGGTTTCCCTTCTTATGTTTAAGTCCTTTATCCATTTTGAGTTTATTTTTGTGTATGGTGTAAGTTGGTGGTCTAATTTCATTTTTTCACAAGTATCTGTCCAATTTTCCCAACACCATTTATTGAAGAGACTGTTTTGACTCCATTGTATGTTCTTGCCTCCTTTGTCAAATATTAATTGAGAATAATGGCTTGGGTTGATCTCTGGGTTCTTCGTTCTGTTCCATTCGTCTATATGTCTGTTCTTGTACCAGTAACAGGCAGTTTTGAGAACAGTGGCTTTGTAGTATAGCTTGATATCTGGTATTGTGATCTCTTCAACTTTGTTCTTCTTTCTCAAGATTGCTGCAGCTATTTGGGGTCTTTTTTTATTCCAGATGAATTTTTGGAGAGTTTGTTCTAGGTCTTTGAAGTATGCCATTGGTATTTAAATGGGGATTGCATTGAATCTATAGATTGCTTTAGTATGGACATTTTAATGATGTTGATTCTACCAATCCATGAACATAGTATATACTTCCATTTACCCACATTATTTCTTAATGAATTTATCAGAGTGAAAGCCTAACATCAGCTTTATGGGTAGTCCTTTGGTTCTCTGTCAATTATATTTTTAAAAATGTAACCAGCCTGGATGATGTGGTTCAGTGGGTGTTGGCCCTGGCAACAAAGGGTCACGGGTTCATTCCCAGTCATTGCAGATTTGATCCCAGGCCCTAGTCAGGGTGCATGTGGAGGAAAATCAATTGATATTTCTCTCTCACATTGATGTTTCTCTCTCCTACCTTCCCTCTCCTTCTCTCCCTTCCACTCTGTAAAATAAAGCAATGGCCAAAATATCATTGGGTGAGGATTAACAAACAAAAAAGTAACCATGTCCACTTGTTTAACTTCTTCCAAATGTTGCATAACATCCTAGAGGTACTGTGTGTGGCTGTATCTCAGCACCAGTTGGCTCATGACAGCTTAATCAAGGCTGGGCAAATGCTTTGGGGGAAGGTTTAGGGCCTGATATTAGAAGTGCTCAGTGGGATGATGAGAAAACCATCAAGCTGGGGGTTAACATTGGAAAGTCAGTATTCACCAACAGATAAGGCTTCAAGAGACTTAACCTTTCCAGCTGTGATTTAGGAAAGTACTGAGTGTGGGTAGGTCCAAGATGGAGAAAAAGGTCCATTCACAGGTAAAAAAGAAACACATAAAAAACAAAACACACACACACACACACACACACACACACAAACAGGATCAAGCTTCAGTTCAGAGCAAATACTTCTTATAACCTATAACACCTTTGCAGGATAACTGGGTGGTGCTAGTATTGTGATGAAACAGAACTAACGGAATACAAGTATCCCTAATCTATCGTCTTGATCTCTCATGCTGAGACAACTGACTTGCATAACCACAGGCCAGCAGTAGCAATACATGTTGCATTCTGGAGTTGATTTGTTCAGCACGGGGCATCAGCTCTGACCTTGGGAGGTGAGGGCTGACATAAATGCCTTTCTTCTCTTCCTGAGACAAAAACAAAAACAAAATTAATATACACAATAAATGGAGTGTGAAGGCTCCCATCTTATAAATAAACTTGGAAAAATATTATGGAATATCTCACATAGAACATCAGCCTATAGCCTCAGTTGAAACTCAGTAGATTTTATTTCATGTGCAGCCTATTATTTAAAGGGATAGAAAGAGTCAAATAGTAGAACTCAGCCTTCAGGAAGATGCAGAGATACTAAATAGGAACAGGCAGCTCATGTCTGTTGGTAGTGAATCCTCAGGCGACACTGGCCCATTAATCTTTTCGTGTTTTTTTCTCTTTCCAGCAGTCAGAACCTTCCATGCACCTGCAAGAAAGCATAATCACTGATTCCATTAACACATTCAAATGAAGGGCTCTGAGCACTTTTAAGGATGACCACTTCCATCTCCCTCCTCTCACAGGCCTTGGGGCCTGCAGAGGGGAGGGGACTTGACCACATGGCTTGTCTGCAGAAAGCCAGACCTGCCAGGTCATTGCTGCAAAGCGGCAGCTGCATTCACAGAGTTCACACTTTTCATTTTATAAATGGGTCAGATGAAGCCAACCCCGGGGAGACTGTGTGGGATGTTGTGTGGATTGTACTGGGAAGAAAATCATCAGGCTGCTCCTTGAGAGGACCAGAGTGTCTATGGGGTCGCGTTTGTATGTACTGCCCATGAGGCTCTCCCAGAAGGTTCAGTCCTCTGAACACCCACAGACAGAACAAATACACAGTGCATTTTAATTATCGAAAGAAAACAATAAGGAATGGCGTTAAGCTAGGAGGGCTGTCCTAACACCATAAATAAAGTCAATGCATTGTTTCGAACGTGCATTAATTAGTGTTTAAATAATAAAAAGGACCATCAATTATAAAACATTACCACAAATTACTTGCGGCTCCAACAGCTTCTTTTGCTGTTATTAATAATTCTAGCTACTGATTTTCTGTAATTGGGAACCACAGTTCTCCTTTGATGAACAGCTGAGCAGGCTTACGATGCAAGGTCAAGTTCCTGTTCACACCAATAAAAGTCGCCTTTTCCTGGCCCCTTCTGCTGACCCTTCAGAGCTAGCTTGCTTCTCAGCCTGCAGTCAGTGCTGTCAGAGCAACCTGAGAGGAACGATCACTTAGTGTTTGCTCATTAAGGTTAGAACTACCTTTTATATTAAAATCAAACATCCAAGGAGATGCCTGAGGCGACATTTTCTGTTTCTGAGCATGGCTTGCTCCATGAACTCATTCTACCTTGTGTGACCAGCTCGGACACGCTGGGGGGCAGATCTTGCTGGCTAGCAGATGACAGGGAGAAGTGTGATTTATTAGGAGGCCTGGGCCTGTAGCTTAGAAGATCAGAGTTCAGGCCCCTACTCTTCAATAATCTCACTGTGGGACTCGGGACAAGTTATTTAGCCAATTTGAGATTTCTGGACTGCTCCTTGCCATATTTCACAAGGAAACGAGTGAGGAGTACAGCTGGCGTTTAAACCCCAAGTAAGACATAAGATAGATAAAAGAAACCTTTGCTCTCCTTCTCCCATTTAAAATAAGGTGCCCATTTATTCTCAGGCTGATTACGATTGGGTCAGCCATCTGTCCTGTGTGAACAGGGCCTGAGGCACAAAGGCACAGGCCCAGGTGTTCCTCACCCTCCTGATCCCCTCTGACGTTCACATACAAGGTCAGGGCCTGTCCCATGAGCAGAGCTGTGCTTCCTGGGAGCCCCTGGTGTGCAAGCACCATCCTCACATGTTACATGGACTTTCTCATTCAGTCGCCTCAGCAGCCCATGATGAGGCCCCCACATTTGTCCCCTTTTGACAAATAAAGAAATGGAGACACCAAAAGGTTAAGGCTACAGAGCTAGCAAATGACAGAGCCAGGATATCAGCCCGGGAGGGTTCTTCACCGCCCTGCTAAACCGGCAAATGCACTTACCTTTCTTGGAGTGGGCTTCTGCCCTGCACCCTGCCTCCCTATCCGTTTGGTAATCTGGGTCTAATTTAGAAGGCAAATGTCTCATGTCAAAGGTTCCACTTCCTCCAGAAAACTCTCCAGAGCACTCTCATAGCACCCTGCGCCCAGGCCCACCTGGCTCTCAGCCCAGTGACCCCACATGGCTGGAGCCTCTGAAGGCAGGGACAGCTCATTATTGGGTTCCCAGACCCTTCCCCGGGGTCTGCCGCTAGTAGGTAAAACTTTGCACCACACACACAATCTTCTGTCTCTCACACACCATCCGTCATACACACAGGACTGATGGCCTTCTACTGCAGTGATGGCGAACCTATGACACGAGAACTCATTTTTTTGGTTGATTTTTCTTTGTTAAATGGCATTTAAATATATAAAATAAATATCAAAAATATAAATCTTTGTTTTGCTACAGTTGCAAATATCAAAAAGTTTCTATATGTGACACGGCACCAGAGTTAAGTTAGGGTTTTTCAAAATGCTGACACGCCGAGCTCACAAGGTTCGCCATCCCTGCTCTACTGCCAGAAGTTCCAGAACGTCTCTCCAGAACTCCAGATTTATAATCTCTTCCCTCTGACAAATTGCCCTTTCTCCTTCCCCTCCCCCCAAAGATGGCTGCAGGGCTGGAGGTGAGAGAGAACAGCTGCCACTCTAATTCTGGGTTCGCTTCAAACATAGTGTGGGGTTTCTGGTGCCTGTTAGCCCACCCCGTCATCTTCCTCTCCCAGGGCACTTAATATTTTCCCAGACCCTTCCTCCCGGGGACTGGGTTGAGTGGCAATAGATTGAGTCCATGAGAGCAAAAGAATGCTTCTCTCTATGCAGTTACATCCTTACCCACTCGCTGTGAGTCGTCCACATCCTGCCAACCACACCACCCTATCTGAAAAAGTGACTGCAATGAAACAGGGAGTAAGAAGCAGAAAGCCCATAAGTGCCCTGGGATCTCGCTTTTGCTCACTAAACATCCAGTAAACCTCAGCATCTTATCCTGTGATTTGGGCTTTATTGGCCCATCTACTGTGGGATTGTCTAACATTTCCTCGGCAAAATGTCTTTCTTTCTTTCTTTCTTTCTTTCTTTCTTTCTTTCTTTCTTTCTTTCTTTCTTTCTTTCTTTGTAAAGTAGGTAAATTCTTTGTGCTTTCTTGTAAATTCTTTGCCTCTTTCCTCACAGTTTTATGCACAGTTGAACACACCCACCTCTTAATTTGTTTTTAATTATTATATTTTATTTTAATCCTCGCCCACAGGTATGTTTTTAATGTTTTGTGTGTGTGTGTGTGTGTGTGTGTGTGTGTGTGTGTGTGTGTGTGTGAGAGAGAGAGAGAGAGAGAGAGAGAGAGAGAGAGAGAGAGAGAGAGACATCAATCGATTAACTCCAACCAGGGATCAAACCCAAAACCTAGGTACATGCCATGATGGGGAATAGAACCCAAAATCCTTTCCGTGTGTGGTATGAAGCCCCATCGGCCAGGGAAACGCACCCTCCTTTTTAGAGCTCTCTCATTCCTTGCTTCCAGGACACTACCTTCCCTGGATGTCTCCTTCTCTTTGCTGCTCTTTTTTGAGGACTTGTGTTCATGTGTCCTTGGATACTGATGTTTGCAGAGATCTATCTGCCACATTCTTGCTTTATACTCTCTCCCTGAGGATCTCTATTCAGACCCACCTAAGTGTTCATTTATGGTCCATCTGAGACCTCTCCCAAGTTCTAGACCCATGTCTACTGAACCTGTCCCCTTGGACATCTCACAGGTGTTCAAGTTCAATGTAACTAAACATACCATCTTCTCTTGTGTTCCAGATCTCAACCAACAATGAAATGCCCAAGGAAGAACCCCAGGAGACATTCTTAACTAACTTCTCTCTACAAGGCTACTATGTCATGGCAATTAGATTTTCTAAGTATCTTTTGAATCTCTCTTTTTCTCCATCTCCACCTTCATTATCATAAGCTTTCAACAGACAGCTACAATAATCTCCTAATTCATCACTCTACCGTATTTCTAGTGTATGTCTTTGTTCAGTTAGCAATGGTCACAGTACTGCTGCATACAGAATACTCTCAACATCTAATTTTTAAAAAATTGTTTTCTCTTATGGGTTTGTGGTTCATTTGGGCTAATGTGCTTCAGGCTGCAACAGCAGGGGCAGCTCTGCTCCATTTGTCTCCCATCCTCCTCCTCGGCCCAGTGGGCTGGCCAAGGCATGTTTTCCTCATAGCAAAGGCAGAGGTTCAAGAGGGCCAGTGGAAACACCCAAGGCTTCTTAAATCCCAGGCTTAGAAATATAACACGGTCCCTTCTACCCACATGCATTGACCAAAACAAGTCATATGTCCTGGCCCAAGGTCAAAGAGTAGAGAAGCACACTTGGCTCACTGTGAGGCCATGGTAAGGGGGCGGGGGTGGGGGTGGGGCGGGGATGCAGGGAGCAGTGAGCAATGGAGCCGGTAATTCAGTCTACCATTGGCCCTCTCTAATCCATTTTCTACCCTGCAGCTAGATTTCTAACATGAAAATCTGAGTATGTTATTCCCCATTGTTTTTTAAATATAGTTTAATCCATGATGCAACCCCAGATTACCTATCTTCTCATACCACCAATCACTCTGCTCCTGCCATGTTGAATAATATTTATTTTCTAACTTTGCCTGTGTTCTCTTACCTTCAAGTCTTTGCACAGCCAGTTCCTTTGCCCAGAGCACGTCCTCATCCTCACCCCGCCCCATGACCTAGTCCCCATTCCTTGCATCTTCTAGTTAACTCCACTTGTCCTTCAGGTCTCTCCTTGTGTTGCATCCTCCAAAAACCGTCCCTTATCCCATGATAGGGCTGTCCTTAGGCTCATTTCCTGTACCATGTTCTTGTGCTCATAGAAATACTTAGGCGCCAGTATTGTAATTACCTGAGGAGTGGGACTATTTTCAGTCTTAGTGCTTAGCCACTGTGCCTGGGTTATTGTAAGTCTTCCATAAATACCTTTTAATGGGTGATTACCACATAGGAACCTGTCCATGAATATAAAGTTTAATGCCTCTATTGTTGGGTTGTTGTTTTTTTTGATTTTATATAACCAAAACAACAAATAAATATATAGCAACACTTATAAGTGTTATGAAGGAGGAGCCGAGGATGCTAAAAGAGAATAAAAAAAGCAAACTAAATCAGATCAGAGGGCCAAGGAAGGTATTCTTTAGGGAACTGTGTATAAACTGATACTTAAAAAATAAGTAGGAATTTTATCAAGAAAGAGCTGAGGGGGGGGATTGAGATCTGGCCAATGGAACATCATGTGCGAAGGTCCTGAGGCAAGAAAGGAGGGGAAAATTGTTGAGGCAGTTGT